GATTTGAACTTAGCATTATCAAATTTTTTGTTTACATACAGAAATACAGTTCATTCCACAACCAATCAAACACCAGCAGAGTTAATGTTAGGCAGATCTCTGAAATCAAGGTTAGACTTAATTAGACCTAATGTGAAGGATGTCATTAGTAGTAATCAAAACAGACAAGTTTCAGCTTATGGTGGTGTCACAACTCGTAGATTATTTGTTAATCAACCTGTATTAGCTAAAGATTACAGGGGAAGGGAGAGATGGATAGAGGCTACAGTTATTGAAAAACTGGGTCCTGTAACTTATTTAGTTGAACTAGAATCAGGCGTTCAGTGGAAGCGTCACATAGACCAGTTGATAGCTTTACAGTCTAAGCTAGGGCAGCAGTCAGATTTAGTAGTAGAATTTCCCAAAAACGATCTGACAACGTCGCTTCCAGACAGAAAACCGGCAACATTGCAAAATTCGCCAGACCACACACTGACAGGGAACAGTAGCGAAGGTATGCGAGCTCTTCCGGGCACAGTCGGGCAGAAAACTCCGATATTGACTAGGTCACCTGGCGCAAACCAAAACATTGAAAGAGCGGGGTCATTGGCTTCGCCTCCAAATGTAAACAAATCGCCAAATGTAAACAGACAGACGCCTACTAGACGCTTTCCTGTACGGGAGCGCAAACCTGTAATAAGATTAGACCTTTAATTGAATACCCGGACATGACTTGTATATAGATTCATTTATTATATATCCTTATCAATGATTTTCAAATGTGTATTTATTGAATTGTGTGTACCATTATGTGTGTTATCATTATTTAATCATCAAGGTTCAATGTTTAATGCTATTAAGGTTTATGATTTCAATTGTGTGATTCATTTACTTGTGTTTTTAATGTGTGATATTATCTCAATATTTTGACCATATATACATATATATATTTAGAACTGATGATTGATTGATTCTCATTCTCATTTAAATGATTGGCAAACAAAAATAATAATAAATTAATAAGATATTCTGGTATTGTTATTTGTGATTGTAAGTTTTCAAGATTATAGTAACCGATAGCATCACAAAACTTAAGAGGGGAGGATTGTACCATATTCTGATAATTTGTACCATAATGTTACAATAGTTTGACACTCATACCATCATGTAACCACAATTTCTGTTTAGGTTGGCAATATGCAAAATCAGGCGATATTTCTAATAAAGCAGCTCATGGCTATTTCCCGTGACGTCACATCACGCCACCATCACACCACCTTTCCGAACAAGCCTAAATCCCCTCTCCTCAGGTCAGTCCACACCATGTATTAGTCCCGTCAACATCATATACCCTTTGCGGCCCTCTGAGTGTTATTCAAAATGTAACAAGTGTATTTATTACAACACCCCATCCCTGACCCCAAACGTACAGTACGATGACGACGTATCGTACACCTAGGGCCGAAAACGAGGTTTTGCCGGCTCGAGATAGTCTTTAAGTTCAAGACGAAGTCGAGAACTTAAATGGATCGAGAGCTGCAAAACCATTTTCGGTCCGTGGTACGAACACTATTTTTCACCACACTACTACTATTCACAAATAATGAAAACTGATAGTCAAAGCAACTTTAAGGTTACGGTATGTGAAGAAGTAATTTCAGGAATCAGCAAAAATAATAATAAACAGTTGCTAGGCAACGGTGATAATAAAACAATTCTATTTCAATGCTATGGATACTGTTTGTGTAATTAAAATGCAAGCGGACAGCTGATTTTGCTGCCCCGGGATGTAAAAACCTGCTCGGTCCCCAAATTACGATGTCAGCTGGCATGGCCAGCAAAACGTAACTTCAGCCACCAATTAACGTGTGTAATACAGCCAAAAACATCATACAGGGTGTCCACAAAAAATTTGTCATTAATTTCCATGACTTTCCATGACTATCCATGACCATTTACCATTGATTTCCATGACTCACGAACTTTACACGCAAATTATAATATAACATACACACACAAATAATACTGCCTGGACATGTTATTTTGCAGAAAATACTGAAATATGTAATAACAGATAACAATGGAGTACAATAGGTACAACAATGAACTAAAACAAACCAAAAACTCATAAAATAATACAACTGTAATAAATTGAATTGTCGAACATTTGTGAAAAACCTGAAAAATGCTACAACAGTCCGGGTTACGGCTGACTAGAGCATTGAATGGTCCCCTCAAATCCATCCATAATTGGAAATTTCCATGACTTTCCATGACTTCTTGCCTATTTCCCTGACTTTCAATGACCAAAATTTTTTTCCATGACTTTCCATGACTATCCCTGACTTTCCAGAATGTGGACACCCTGTCATAGTGTGGTGAAAAAATGTTTTCAGTTTCTTTTTAAATTTAATTGTGCTTTGCTCCTTCCTTATGCCATCTGGGTGTTTATGATTAAATGTAATACCAATGTACTGAGGACTTTGCTTATATTTTTCTTTCTTATGATTTTTTATTGGAAAATGTTGTTCATATCTAGTATTGTTTAGATAAATATACTTCAAACAAAGAAGATTGTGTTATTGTGAATCCTCTAAAATAATTTTATAGCAATTGTCTACTTCTTGTGGGATATATAGGTGGATTGGGTTCCATGCATTGATGACTGGATTGATGAATAAGTTAGTGAAAATCTGTGATTGATGAAACTCTGCTGCAGCAACATTCTTTGGAAGACGACTCTAACATGCCTGGATCTTGGACTGCAAATTCTAGAGCCTATATCAACCATTGCTTACGTAGAATTTGAAAACATCATTCAATAAATTCAGGAAGTTCAATCAATGACTTAAAATAGTAAACAGCAGTCACTAATACGATGGTTTGTTGATCTTCTGTCGAAATTCCCAGAGGACCAATACTCTACAGACCGACCCAGAGCCAGATTCAAAACCTAGATTTCAATATCTCAGAATGTACTTTAGGTCATCTGGAACAGTGCACACATTCTCAATCACATTATCTCTTCCACAGAGGGTATCAAATGGTCAGTGACATGGTATAGTAATTAATTGCCTAGTTTGATTAGCAACTATTAAAAATACTTTAAGAATGCATCCTTACAAATTGTTTTATATCTACTAGAGAACCCGTGCGGCTCAATGAGCCGCATAGTATGAAACATAACGCCGAGGAAAACCTTATGCTTAAATTTGAGTAACTTTAGTTACATCTTAAGAGTGGTTTGAAAACTTGTTAGAAACTAATTTTAAATACAGTATCTCTATTGGCATCGTCAAGGTTCACCTACAATATTTCTGCTCTCAGTTTTAACTGATAACATCTAAAGAATGCTAAACGATCTGCCTCAATTCGAGTTAACATGTTGCAACAAAGTTGTTCTCTTTTTGAACAGCGTATATTATTTGCATCTCCTAAATCATAAAAATAAACTTGACCGTAACTACTCGATCGTTCAATACATAAACATTAATTCTTTCACTTATGTATGGCCACTAAAACTTTCAATGGCAAATGAGTTTTTGAAATTTCTTATTTTTTACTTGGAATGCCTGGATTGTGCAGGTGAATTCAGCCAAAAGACGTATAAGTTTGTTTAAGAAACTGGCAACATAACATAGTAGTAAACAATCCATTTACGTCTTTTCTCAATTGAAGTAGAGCCAGTAATACTAAAGTTTACGATACAAACATAAGGTCCGCCAAGATTTGGGATAACCTTACTACTTGAACTTATCATAGTCAAGGCAGGCATTATAATAAAGTTTCTACTAAATGTTTTTAAATATCTCGATCTGTCAGTGTCTGAAGTAAACGTTTCTTGCCTGCATTCATTTGATCTGACATTTTAGGCAAGTTTACTTTCCCAATGTGACAACACTATGAGCTTCGTATATTTGTTCACTTCCAAAGTAAGTTGCACAGAACCGGCAATTTGTATTCATCTTACCAAGTGAATGTGGATCTGTTAGACCAGGTCTCTCTTTTTCTACTCTCCTCATACGCACAAGATATCTTATTAATTGTCTCCTCCTCCCGTGTTCAATACTTCTTCTTAGAACTTAAGGCAATTTCTGTTCTTCCAACAAAACTGATTAACTGTTTAACTTGGTCTTAACCTATTCAATATTACAAACATTAATATTTACTCCCAAAAGGCTAATGAGTTTCTTTTTATAAACAGCTGTTTTTTGTTTTAAAATTTGTTCTATGTATTTCTTATGGGGAAAACCCGACCTTTGAGAGGGTCTCACGCCCTTAAGAGTAAGAATTTCAAACTTCTAAAACCTTATTGCAAAACTTCATATTGAGACGAATCTGTTGACACCTTAAACGTTGAAATTGGTCCACAAATAAGGGAGGAGTTGCGTTAACAAAAAACGGCTTCACGTATTATATATATAGATATAAGTCTGGACCAGTTAATTAATTTCAATCCTATTTTTAATATATTACAGCTGTTAATATGTTTACTTATGTTTACATTCTAAGATTGATGATGAATAAAAACAAGACTTATTTTTAGTTTCTTACATTTAGCATCTTACATTTTTATGTTTTATAATTATTAATTCAATAAGTACGTAACAATGGCGACGAGGATGGGAAACTCCAGAGCCACTGGGGCGGAGCCCTTTAAACGGATCTGCACCAAACTTCACACAAACCATCCTTGAATAATGCTTAATAAAGCCTGAAAGTTTCATTACAATCTGTCGAGCGGTTTCGGAGTCCATAAAGGACAAACAAACAAACATACATACAAACAAACATACATACAAACAAACATACATATAAACAAACATACATACAAACAAACATACATTGGATTTTATATATATAGATTAAATTATTTGTAAAGTTGTTTTAGAAAAGGTTAAAATGAGAGAATTAAGACTATTTTTTTACACATGTTACAGGTAAACAAAAAAACAAAACTTGGACACGGTATTGAATTATTTACATAAATGTTGAAGGTTAAAAAGGCTGCAATACAGTACCTAAAAGGATTCCACAGCTCTTCACAAATTTCATATCCGATGCACGTGTCTTTAGTAGCTATGACGGCATCCCCGAAAGGAACTACAGACTGGCCTGTATACGTTTGGATCATTCTGGGTAAATAGTAGTCTTCCGTCTCTCGCAACTGAAAAACATAAAGTGCTAATTTCCGGGCTTTTCAATAGCCTACATCTAAACTCTAGAGTATTCAAGAACTGAAAATTCAGAAACTTTATAAAACTGTCCTGATCTTGGTGCAAGGATTTTTTATTTTGGAAATTTTTTTTAGACGGAGCATTCTTTGATGGTGACAAATATCAAAGGACACACAAAGAACCTCACTAGGCTACCTAACAACACACAAGTATTATTAATGTTGTACCCATTTTTTCCCCTGGTCAACATTTTGAAATGGAAATAGTAGTTGAACTCAGTTTTTAATTCCTTACGTTGTTATCCTAATGGTTATTATTAAGAAAGATTATACACTTCTTTACCAAGAGTGGTAAAACATTCATTACTGGTGAAGATCAACTGTACCAATTAAGTAAGATCAAAAGGAACACACCTGTAATGAACTATTGGCATTAATGTATGTATAAACGTAAACGTAAGCTATGAAAGTATTCATAAAATCACAGTTATGATAGTAAATAAACCACCTTCCTCCATGCAGTGAACCAGCGAGTCTCCCGATATCCTGCAGTATCACACATCAGCAACTTGGGACGGATGAGCAATAGTTTCCTGCAGAAAATAAGTAATTAGGTACATCCCTCATAAGCATAGTCTTGCTAATGCTGATCTGAATCGTCTGTTGCGAGGAAAGTTTATCTAATTTAAGTAAATAACAGATTCGACGATTGAGGTTTCATTTTAAAGCTTATGATATTAGGGGAGGAATGGTAAAAAGGTAATTTCCTTCAGGGCTTTCCCCTCCTGATAAATCGTTCCCGTCCTTGCGTCGGATTTATTTCTAGACTTAGCTTTAAAGATCCAGTGATGCTGACTATCTTTCTTTAAATGTGAATTCTTACATTATAGATGATGAAGTTTTTTAACCACATTCAGAGTGTAAACAAGAGACAAATTAGTTTATGAAAATGATTTTTAATTGGACCAATCTAACTGATAATTGTAACTTAACTTGATTGAGAAATATAGGTAGGCATAAATGACTCTTCATTGGTAAGCATCTACAATCGACATGATTAAAATATTATCTAAACTAGTCTTCTTAGCGAATATCCCATACAAACAAAATGGTACAAATCCCATTTCTGTAAAAATTAAGGTTTAAAAGTTATTGAAAATTATGTTATCCTCCCATAAAATAACAAAAAATAGGATTTTGGATTAAAGGCGGTTTTGATTTAACATAGCATGTTAGGCCTAGTCCTTACAATTAATTTAATTTTGAAAGTTTTTTTTATTTTTTAGAAATTTTGATTTTTAATGGGGATTTTCTCATAAAACCCCATAAAATAACGGAAAAATCGGATTTTATAAAAAATGGCCCGAAAGATTTTGATAAAAATTTAGTATGTTATAGTCCTTTAAATTCTGGACCAAATTGTACAAATCCCATTTCCGTAGATTTATTCTCACCGCTTACACATGATAAAGGTTGTTGACAAATTTATGGGAGAAAGTATGTGTCAGGTTGCTGATACCTTTTTTATATATTTACATTTTTGTATATACAGGGTGAGTTGTCCCCCCCCCCCCAACTTTTTTCTATATTTTTTCAAATATCAATCCCAGACCACTTCCAAACATTGTTGGGTAGTAAGTACTTCATTTTGACAAGGTGGTAATTTCCGGCCGCCATCTTGGATTCGCCATATTTGATCCAAATTTTTTTTTTCAAAAGTAAAGATGGGGTTGTGACCATTATTTGGAACTATATTTTTACCCTGATTACAATGATTACAATCAGTTCCTATCAGTCAGTCGATGCGAGCGGACCTACTATCTGTGCTCCTATCTATAGCTCTGTAGTTTCCTGATTGCCGCCCGGCGTGCCGTATCCTGTGTAAAGTGGAGGTTCGTTGACTTTAAATCTTTAACTTATTTTTGTTGTCATCCATATTTTTTATTTTCATATATAAACCCGAGGTTATTATTTTTATTTATTATGGTGCTGTGCCGGAAGTGTGACTCTGATGTTCAACAAAAGGACGGGTACAAATGCACGGGGTGTCAAACGTTATACCACACTACGTGCGTCGGAGATCTCAAAACCCGTGGATCGCGTTCAAACTGGAAGTGTGAAGAGTGTGCTTTGACAGTTCATCTACGGCCAGCAAGTCCACTGCGAACCGTGACCAGGAACAGTCTGCAGTTCTTGATGCGATCGCCGCCCTTCGCACCGAAATCAACATTCGTTGGGACAAGAATGACGAGACGATGAACTTAATACGGGCTGAAGTAAGCAGTATGAGTGCAAGAGTAACTGTCGTTGAAGCGGACCTTGCCTCAGCACATACAAGTGTCAAGGAAGCTTGGCGTGAAGTGGAGAACTTGACCGTAGCGAACTCAAAGTTGCGCGACGACCTGACGGCGGCGAAAAGTGAAATCAGCGAGTTGCAACAACATTCTCGAAAGAATAATGTAATGATTTACGGAGTCCCAGTGCTACCAAACGGCGCCGACCCGATGCGGGTTATACAAAGTATCGCAGCCGTGTTGAACGTCCCCTTCTATCGTACGGACATCAATGCAGTGCACTGGCTCCCTCGTGGAGCTCGCAGTAGCAAAACCCAAGGGATTATTGTCTCGTTTGTGTCAAGACTCGTTAAGCAAGACTGGATTTCTGCCCGTGTAAGGAAGGGGAGCCTCAAAGCAAGCGAGATTAAACAAGGCTTCCCAGATCAACAAATCTTTATAAACAAACAACTAACTCCGGAAACACGCAAAGTTTTCAATGCTGCTCGAGACCTCAAGAAGGAGGGTAAACTTTCATCCGTGTGGACCAGCGACGGGAGGGTGCTAACGAAGAGATCTCAAACAGCTCGACCGTTTCGAGTGTCCAGCATCCAGGACCTGGACCAGGCTATCGCCGCCCCCGCCGCCACTCTAGCTCCCGAGGTCACTCCAGCTCCCGAGGTCACTCCAGCTCCCGAGGTCACACCCAACGAGACTGAGGTACCCCTCGAGGAAGGGCAAATTATATAATTTTGCTGAGCTAGAAACATTATTTTGTTACTCTCGTTTTTAGTATTTCAATAGTGTTAATTCATGGGTAAAATTTGATTTTTTTCCATCCAAGATGTTTTTTTATTTTTTATCATTGTTATTATTATTATCATTATTTAGGCCTATCATAATGTCTCGGAAATATTACTTTTCGCTTGCGAACAATAGTTTATATCAACCCATTGATGAAAATTTGATCTCTATAAATAGTACCTACGTTTAACTATGTAGGATTAATAGCCCAAATCCTATTATATTATTTTGCTACTATCACTTAAATTTCATTAGCGTCAAACACACAATATATATAAGCCCTAAGTTAATCCAATCAACCAGTTTTCTTTTTGTTGATCTATGGTTGACAACAATAGTAGGTAATTGTATATATTTAATAAGGATAATTAATTGATAATGATCCAGAATTTATAATCATGTAATAGGATGATAGTTCATATTAATGTGCAGCCATTTATTACTATAATTTTATGTTATTATTGCAACTTGTAAGCTAAAGGCTTCATTTCCAACTCAAATCAATGTAATGATATAATAATTTATGATTAAATTTACCTAATGTTACACTGCAGTTTCCATCGCAAGCAAATAATACAACTGATTATTTCAATTTCAACTGGTTCTCATTATCTCTTCTTACACCATACACATACTGCATTGAACAACCTCCGAACAACCTTTAAACATTAACAACTACATAACAACAATAATGTTCAGGTGTTCGGTATGCCGGTCGGCAATTTAAATTTAAATTTGTATTTGTATTTTCCTATCTCATATTTTTATCTTGTATTTGTATACAGACAGTTTGTAAAATGGTCGTTGATGACGAAATTATACCAGTAGTACATTGTACTGAAATTCCTAGCTCTGAACTTTTCAACTTTGATAATTTAAATGAAAACAGTTTAAATTCACTTTCTAGCTTTAAGATCCAACACCAAAATATTAGAAGTTACAAGAAAAACTTCGATGAATTGTTGGTAGTTTTACAAGGTATTAAGTGCAAATTCAATTGTATCGTGTTAACTGAGGCATGGCTGAATCATGACAGCGATCTTATGACCATAGACGGCTATAAGACTTTTAGAAGTTACAACAACCTAAATCAAAGCGACGGACTAGTTATCTACATTGATAATTCGTTATCAGTGTCTTGCAGCCAGCTATTGCTCGGTGGCGTGGCTACGACCCTGTCCTTGACCTTCAACTGGGCCGGTACAATGTGTAACCTGCTTTGTGTTTACCGTAGCCCCAATTCATCGTTACAAATATTTAATGACAATTTGAAAGAATATTTAGAAAATTACGGAAATAAATCAGACATCAGTATTTTAGTAGGCGATTTTAACTGTGATATCATTCAACCTATTCTTAATTCACAAGAAGAGCGATATCTAGATATATTATATGACTTAGGTTTTGTAGCTTGCATTGACAAAATAACACGTCCTGTTAGTCATACGTGTATTGATCATTTCTTCATACGGTTGCCGCCTTCCATCACGGCTAACTCCGCAGTTTTACAAACAGAAATTACAGATCATTTTAGCATCTCATTAGAAATATGTAAAAAAACGTCCTGTAAAATGTCCACTAAAAACCGTATATCGAAAATAGTTGAGTGGCATAGCATTAGCAACGATTTAATCTCTTGTAATTGGGACTCAATTTTGAAATCAGAAAGTGTTGACGACGCATCAGAAATGTTAAATAATAAACTTCAGTCAATCTTAAATTCAAATACAGTTATTGAAAACAAACCTGCTAAAGTTTCCAAAATAAAACCTTGGATAACAGTTGGACTCCTAAAATCAATACGCTTCCGAGATAAACTAAGCAAACAAGTTCAAAACCGTCCTTTCAACGTTCAGTTGCGTACGCGATTTTTAAGATATAGGAATATCCTCAAGTCATTAATTAAGCAAGCCAAATACAGTTTTTACAAAAATAAAATCGAAGATGCAGACGGAGACTCCAGAAAATTCTGGCACATCGTAAATGAGGTCGCAGGACGTCCAAGTAGGAAGGAAAAATTCCCAATAGAAGCATTCTTTGCGCACGATGGCACTGCCACCACTGACCAGATAAAAATTGTATGCAATGATTTAAATAATTATTTTGCCTCCGTGGGGTCACAATTAGCAAACGTGATAAAGTGCGATGGGCCCCCAGAAATCGACGATGCCGCACATGCCACGGACAAAGTATTTTCCCTGAGGCCGGTCACCCGGGCTGAACTTCTCGAAGTTGTGAAGACAATTAAAGGGAATTCGGCTCCTGGGTGGGATGGCATCCCAACAAAACTTGTAAAATCAAACATTGAAATATTAGTTCAGCCTATCTTGCACGTAATAAACTTAAGTATACTGTCCGGCAAATTTCCAAAATGTTTTAAAACTGCCAGTCACCCCAATTTACAAATCTGGCCAAAAAAACATTGCATCAAACTTCAGACCAATCTCGTTGCTTGGTGCAATTTCTAAAATTCTTGAAAAATGTGTTAAGAAACAATTAGCTTTTTACCTTGAAAA